AAGAATCAAAAAGCATAGAATCTTGTTATAATATTTTGCTGGTAGTTTCAACAGATGGAGCCAACAAAGTTTGTGAGGGAAATATTTTTAGTGCAATATAATATTTAATGAGAATATTTTGCTATGACTGCTTAAATATTCAGGTGAGCGATACAGGCCCTCTTGGGCCTCTTGTTTGAATGTGAACATGTAGAGAGGCTTTGGCTACTTCTTGAAAACTGGATATTCTCAAAAACCTCTGTTTACATTAAATTTGCCAAACAAGATAAGATGTTTTATTTGGGAAAGTATGTAAAACATATTATGTGCAGAACCTTATTATGCTAATTGTTAAATATTACATTTACAAACAACGTATGAAAGGTGATACACTTTTTATAGAAAGTGTAAAGAGAGATATAGTGTACAATTAAAAAGTGGAAAAATATATCACAACATGTAAAGGAAAACAAAATACCTTTCTCCAAAAATGGAGACTCTTTTCTAACTTAATGATACCATAGCTTATTTACCAAGTATTGTGTATTTATCCATATATGCACCTATAACTTGTACCTAATTCGATTGCCGCCCAAGATGTGTATTAACCAATTTCGAATCATCCATTCCAACTCCAGACTGTTACGGTCACAAATACACAGGTACTGCTTGTGTAATGCGCATCTCGGATGGGAATTCAAAAGATCTCCTTTAATATCAATAGTACGACAGCAAGAGTGTATGCAAGTTGTGTTTTAATGTACTGTCTTTTGTAAAAGAACATGTGAAAAAAACCAAATTAAGATAAAAAAATATATATGCCCACGTAGCCACATAACATGGTCGCTATAACTAGTAGGGTCAATGTGAGTATAAAAGTAACGTTAGGGGATTTGAATAGAATATCAAATACGTAAGTAATAATATGATAAACTTATGTAGGTAATTAGTACTTTACTGTATGAATTATAAATACGGGGTAGGGGGGATGGAGATCCTACGTTGAGTCAGCAGTAATTTCCATAAAGATCAGCGAAGTTCAGCTATTCCCAGTTGATGGATTCTTTAAATAGAATTCACTACTAGTCCGGCCATAGAACTATTTTATCAATAATAATCATGTGCAGTGCGCGACAAGTAAACACTGGATTAAACTTGCTGATAATCCA